GGGGAGAGTTGCTGTCCCTTAGTGACATACACTGTAGTCTAAGAGAAACAGATTTTGACTCTGGTGATCACTTGTCTATTTAATATTTAGTAGGTTTTGAACCTACACAGACAGATTTAAACTCTGTTATATCAACTGCTTGGCTAAGACCAGTGAGATGCACTTCCAATTCAGAAGTGAACCCTCAAGGCACAAAAGTTCAATGTATGACCAAAGTTTTGTTGCAAACTCAGAATGATAAGTATAAGAACAATTTAATTCTCTCCAAAAGGTCTCAATTTGGTTGAAGAAAAAGAGCAGATTACACATCAAACTTTCTAGTTTGATTCTAATGACCTGAGAAAGTTCTGAGATAAATCAGAAGTATTTAGACAATAGTGTGACAATTCTGTGCTTAGGTGCTTTCAAGCGCTCAGTGTCAAATAGCAGTTATAGCATATTTTAGACTTTGAGTCCTACAATATGCAAGATAATGGTGGAAAGTTGTTTAGAGTCAAAAGATACATGGTACTATGTAAGTAATTCTAAGTGTATTCTTAGCACACAGAAGCAAGTCAGAAGTGCAGCAAATAGGCAAAAGTATGTAAGTCACTTCTGAATGGGTTCATTGAGAGTTCATCTAACTGGTATTAGCCAAGTGGTCAAAACAACTGAATCTAAATCTGTCTGTGTGGGTTCAAAACCTGCTAAAGATGAATTTTCCAAGTAATTATTAGAGTCAAAATCTGTACCTCTTAGACTGTGCAGGTTTGAAACCTGCCTGTGATAAATTTTATTTTCTATGAAAATACACCTTGAAAATTTTGCTCATAGTCAGTTTGCTTGCAAACTGATCACAGTTGTGTTTAGCTAAGTGGCTGTCATAACAGAATCAAAATCTGTTTCCATCAGAGTACAACAAGTTTCAAACTTATTGAATGTTGCATTTTTTCTCCAAGAATGTGTCTTAAATATTTGCTCATAGACAGCATCTCAGACATTGATCTTCATTGGTCTTGGTCAAGTTGTTACTAGATTTAAAATCTGTTTCTCTTCCACTGTGCAGGTTTAAAACCTGCCAATAGTAACATTTTTATTCTATGAAATCCAAAATGGTGGAATGTGATGAAACACGAGTTGATGCAAAAGACACATCATTATACAGATTACAAACCTGCTTAGTTCAACAGAAATATATTTTGACTCTGGCAATCACTTGAATAAGCATGATAAAGAATATCAGCCTTAATAGATCTGTATTTTTCCTAATTCTCCAGGTTATTAGGATCAAACTTGAAACTTTGATGTGTAATCTGCTCTTTTTATTCTTCAGCCAAGTTAAGACTTTTAGAAAGAATTATATTGTTATTGTACTTATCCTTCCGAGTTTGCATCAAGACTTTGGTCATATATTGAACTCTGTGTTAAAATACACTGTGATCCTTCCATTGTCAGTTTTCACTCATGGATCCACCATGGTGGTCTTCCATCAGCACTTTTTCAGGGAAATTGTTAGAAAGTCCAGAGCCCGAGCAGGAAGTCTATCTTTTGCAATAAGAGTAGGATAAAAAATCAATACTGACCATGCTATTGAAAGAGCTGATAAAATGCAGATAAATGTGCCTTAAGGACCCACCTCTGAATGAGTTCATTGGAATTGAATCCAACTGCTCTTAGTCAAGCAGTTAATGCAACAGAATCTAAATCTGTCTGTGTGGGTTCAAAACCTGCCAAAGATGAAATTGTCAAGAGATCACCAGAGTTAAAATCTGTGGTCCTTGGACCATGCAGGTTTGAAACCTGCCAATGATAAAATTTATTTTCTATGAAAACACACCTTGACATATGCTCATGGTTGATTTGCTTTAAAGCCACTGAGACTGGTGTTTAGCAAAGTGGTTATCATAACAGAATCAAAATCTGTTTCTATTGAAGTGCAACAGATTTCAAACCAGTGACACATCACATTTTTTTCTATAAGAACATGCCTCGAATATTTGCTCATAGATGGCATCTCAGACTTTTATTTTCATTGGTCTTTAGTCAAGTTGTGACCAGAGTCAAAATCTGTTTCTCTTAGACTGCGCAGGTTTGAAACCTCCTGATGATGATATTTTCATTCTATGAAATCACACTGACATTTCTTCATGAATCATTTTCTCAAAAACAGTCTTAGCCATGTTATTGCCACAATAGATTCAAAATCTGATTATCCTAGACTGAGCAGATTTGAAACTTTTTTTTCATTGAAATATACTTTGAACATTTGCTCGTGGATGGTTGTCTCACCAGTCTTGGCTAAGTGATTGTTACAACAGAATTGAAGTCTGTTTATATTAGACTGTACATGCTTGAAATTTGCTGAGTGATACATGTTTTTGACCTGCTCAGTCCAGGAGAATCAGATTTTGACTTTGATAACCCCTGAACTAGAAATAAGGAAGATCAAAGACTGAGAAACCATCCATGAGAAAATCTTCAATTAAGCATGTGTTCAGAATGTGCTCAAGGGCCAAATCCAAAGGGCTTGGCTTCAGTTTGTGCACTGTACCCCTTACCCAAGTATGTGCCCCTAACTTCTGAAGGCTGTTGAACAATGTCCGAAGGTTGTCGGATGATGTCCGGAGTCCGATATCTGATGCGCAGGAATTCCAGCGGACGTTCAGGAACATGTGATAAGGCTAATCCAGACAATGTCCGAACTAGAGAGGAAACAGTGGAGGACTCCCAGAGGTAGAGGTGGAGGTGACAGGTCTATAGGAGTCAATCCTAAGACTAGTGGAGGACGATGAGAGGGAAGTCAAGTCAGACGGAGGAGGGAATGAGCAGAGTCTAAGATAATATTCGAACTAAGGAAGTACAAAGATTCTACAGGGTTTATATACTACTGAGGACTTAACAGAGAATCAGTCAGCACAGTCCGAAGCTATGCAAGGCTGTGGACGGATCATATATGTAGCAAAGTCTAACACTAGTCTATCGGAAAATAGTAAATGAAGACATAAATGAGAACATAGAACAATAAAGGTGGAAATGAAATGAGGTACAGAAAATGAGTATAGTCTAACTGGAGAAGGAACATACAAAGGGATAAGGCATGGAAGATAGACGTGGGTCGGATCCAGATGATAGATAGAAGTTGGCTGGATCCAGAAATCAGGAAATGATGTGTGTGATAGGTCCAGGTCCAGACCACGGAATATGACAACATGAATTGATATTGCCTTACTTGGTGCATAATCTTCTTCTCTGAATATGTTTGGATCAATGGGATTGAGGCCACTATGTTGCCATGCCTTTTTAATGAGATCTGGCCATGAAAAAACTTTGTTTTGAACTGCCGTGTATTTCCTGACCAATTCTTTCCTAGGTATGTCTGCACTTGTCTCAGTAATAACTTCATGACAGCACTTTCACCAGGTATTCTGCAAGGGGCCAAAGCAACTGACATCAAGAGGCTGCAACTTGTGAGTTGTATATGCAGCGAGGCAGAACAAGTGAGTGTTATTAGTGCCAGTTCACAAATCTGATCTGTGATATGTGAGCTGTGGCCATCAAATATGAAATGGATGGGTTTCCTGGACATAATACAAGCCATGGCCTGAGGTATGAATGATTCTTCAAACCATTGTGTGCCAACAAAGTCATCAGTTCAACTATTAGGGGACATGCAAGTACTGCAATATTCGTCTCAGTATTGATTAATTTTGATGACAACTAATCTTACTTGATTGCAGGATCAACTGTCCACCATGATGGTGAATGCTTCTTGCCAGAAAACACAAATGCTGGCTGTATATTTGTGCCATCAGCATACATACACACTTAATGATAGTGACAAGCTCAAGGTTGTCACTTTTGAACTTGTAGTATACCTGTTTTCTGCACAACATAAGGTACTTGACTCTGCAATGTCCTCATTCTCCTCCCTGCTGACAACCTTTCTCATCCATATTGTATACATTCTCCTATAGGATGCTGAGCTCTTCCATGATCTCATGCAGGAGCTTGAAGTGGTCTTCAACTATTGTTTTATTGTAATGCTGGCCCTGTTTTGGATCAAGTCCTGAAGGCTGCCCAAGCTTAATGCTTGTATGGCGATGGAGAAAATGGTAAATCCAGTTCTTTGATGGTGTCCTTTAACAGAGTGCATAACACTTCTGTTTGACAGTCCACTTACTGATTGGATTGCCTACAGCATCAAGGTGCTCAATCCAGTCCATGAGAACTTTCTCTTAATTTTCTGAGAGCAGCTGCTGATATTTGTGGGCCTCCTTAGGAGGATGAACACCATGAAATCAGCCACAAAGAGTATTCTTGGGAACACCATAGTAAGTCGCTGTTTTTCTGATATTTGGTATGTTATCAGCTTGCTGATCTTCCCAAAGCTTTACACAGGCCTTCTGGACTTTTTCTTTTCTGGTCTGGTACAGCTGTTTTGACTTGATCATGCAGTTGTTAGAGTCGGCTTGAACTTCAATTTGGCATTGGTATTTTTGTGCCGCATTTTGGCATAATGGAGTTTTGATTACACAGTCTTAATGCATCAGGATACCACTCAACAACTAGTACTAATGGAAAGTGACAGGAAAGTTCAACTGAGCCTCAATTTTTCCTGCCTTCAAGTTGCTCAATGCCACCAAGGAAGAAGGCCAGGTGTTTATATGACATTAATGAGGCTACTCGATGTAGTGCAAGATTTACTTGAGGCCAAGGTGGGCATGCAGCACAGCTGCAAAAAATTAGTGAAACTTTAGCAGCTCCATTGAGGAAAACTTGGAAAGAAATCACTTTTGACATCAGTGACACAGAAGAAAATCCCATGGCTCCTTCCCAGCTCTGGAAATCGAAGAAAAATGAAGAAAAATGCAATGATGCATAGTTAAAGTTCCAGTATGGACTGTTGCAAGCTAATCTTCTTCCTGGTTACTACTAAGACTCAGTGTTCTGTTGGAGCTAACAATAAAGCCAATCCAGAAGCCTAGCACTCTAGCACATCTCTCCAACCAGTCCCACACAAAATGTACTCTTCAGGCAGGTTTGGGTTTTGGAAGCCCACATCCACTAGCAGTCAGAGCATCCAGAAGGCAACACAGTCCAACAATCATACTCTCAAGGAGGCCAAAGGTAAAGCAGCAGAGTCTGATACTAGTGACAATGACAAGAATCAGGGCAGAATTGACAATGACAAACAAATGTACATCTCCTGCTACTATCTCATCTGTCTGTTTTCATATGTGCCCACTGCAGGGATAGGACTCAATAGGACACAGGCAATATCATGGTGTTTAGCCAGCATGAAGGGAATTCAAGTGATGAGCATGAGAATGGAACTCAGGATGATTTTAATCCTGACTATAATAATCTGAACGATGATAATCCGGACAATTTCAATCCAGATAATGATGAAGATTTCAATCACCAGCCTGACACTCAAAAGAAAGACTTTAACAGTGATTTTAGATATAAAGCTGGGGACAAAACAGAGAAAGATATTTCGAATTTTGTCTTAGATATTCACCTCATTACATTTTATTTAGGAAGTTTTTGATATACTTGAGTGTCATCAAGTGAAGAATGGACAGCATTAGGCTCCTTCACCAAGTTTTCTAATGAAAGCCAAACTTGTTGAATGAAAATGTGCTTCTGGCCACTTCAAGTCTCCTCATTGACCCTCACCTTAATGTGTGGTGTCTGGGTCTTCTGCTCCGGTGTGGCATTCCAGATGTGAGTGTTTGTTATATATTATTTCTATATGCTCAAGGTCTCCAGTTTAGTGTTCTGCATCACCTCACAGACACTCATACAAGTGTCCTTCTCCTTGCATAGATTCTCCCAGTACATGGTCAAGGTCTCCAGTTCAACATTCCGCATCACCTTGCAGACACACATCTAAGTGTCCCTCCCATATATGTTCTCCTCTCACACAGTCAAGGTCTCCAGCTCAGTGTTTTGCATCACCTTGCAGACACACATCTAAGTATCCTTCCTCCCACATGCAATCCCCTCATCAGCACTCTTCCAAGGTCTCCTCTCAAGGATGCTGTAGGACTTTGAGTCCTTGTGGCCTTGTAAAGGCTATTTTTGCAGTGTCCCAACAGTCCTTGCATTGTGTGCGCTAATGCTAATGTGGCACGCACCTTTTCCGCTATTGGCCAACAGCCACAGCTTGCATTGGTTTTTCTTTGGCTCCATCGTGCATCCTTCCGCCATCATATCCATGTCCTCCGCATGTCTATCAGTGCATATTTTACTTGATTTGTATTAGACTGACCATATCTCCGACACTATATCTTTTATATCCCTATTACTTTTGTCATAGACCCTTATTACATATTACCACTACCTACTTGGCTCCAAATAATGCTTCAGTGTGCACTCATATATACTTGTACTTACGAATTTTCAGGTATCTTTTTCTCTCCCACATACAAATCTATCATCCACTTGCATACATTAATGTCCAAACTCGAAATCTAAACTTTGCATCAACTGCCACACATGTATCTAATGGCCATGTTATCATTCCTATTTCTTGTTTCATCAGCCTTCACACTTCTTACCAATTTGCCATCTCACCACTTCACCTTAATGTTTCATGGCTTTCACAAACATCTTCCATATGGCCACTCATTCCCACACATCAATGTATCTTCGGCTGCTCAATCTCACTTCACGCCGCATCAATGGCGGCTCACTCACGCTCGCATTGCATTGTGCTAGTTCTCGCACTCCATCAATTCTCAACCACCCTTATTAGTTTCAGTGATTTCCCGCCATATTAACATAGAGGAATCATTCTCAGTAGCAATCCCCTTGGGCTGAATTTATACTCGCATCTAGAGGTCTATTTGAGTTTTACCCCACTTCACCCTTACTTCCCCTTTTACCCCTTCTCATCTAGCTATCATTCCTTGCACACAACGCTCTCTGCCAAAGCCTGCTTATCAGTCAGATCACCCAAGATCACCCACTCATTCAGGCTCTCACAGTGCTACACCTGATGAACCTGATTTGTACAGAAATCAATGAAAGACCAGGACAGCTCAAGAGGACCCCACAAAACTTGGCTTCTACCCACCCACTTGGCAAACATCATTCTTATAGGCTGCAAAGTAGGAGATGCATCTACAGGCTATTCTAACACATCCTGTTCCAGAGCATCAAGATGCACTACAACTTGTCCAAGAAGTCATTGATGCTGCATTGTGGATATACCATGAGAAGAAGATCAAATTGGATAATGGTAAGTAGATTCCTCACATTGACTTACCCCTTTGCAAACCTCATTGTTTTTAGGCTATTTTCCACAGTACCGGACACAAATGGTGCAGCTGGTAAGAATATTGTTAATGGACAAACAATGTGCTTATATTTTCACTGTCAGCTCTGTGATGATTTATTTACATTCCGCATGGAGTTAGAAAGTCATTATATCCATCACGAAAACATCCTATGGCATCTTCTCAAAGGGCGCTGTGGCACACAAGGAAGAGATGCAAAAATGTGTCACTGTAAATGCCACTAAGCTACTGAAGACTGGTGATTATCTTCATAGTCCTGATTCATCTGATGTATTGTTGCTCATTTACTCCTCCCAAGGTGATCACTCACTATTGGTTTTATAGGTGTCATATCCCGTGTTCCGGACCCGGACTTATCAGCTACATCATTTCTGGACATCCGGATCCGGCCGACATCTATCTATGTCCGGATCTGACTCGCATCTAACTTCCGTGCCTTATTCCTTTGTACGTTCCTACTCCAGTTAGACCATATCATTGTCCATACCTCGTTTTATTTCCACCCTTTATTTTCCCCTGTTCTAATCTCCGGTTTCATTTACTATTTTCCAATAGACTAGTGTTTGACTTTTCTATACGCTCCGTCCACCGCTTTGTATAGCTTCGGACTTTGCATCTCAGTAGTATATAAACCCTGTAGAATCTATGTACATCCTTAGTTCGAATATTATCTTAGACTCTGCTCATTCCTTCCTCCACCCGACTTGAGTTAACCTCTCGTCGACCTCCGCTCGTCTTAGGATTGATTCCTATAGACTTGTCACCTCCGCCTCTACCTTTGGTAGTCCTCCACTGTTTCCTTTCTAGTTCGGACTTCGTCTGGATTAGTCTTATCTCTTGTTCCCGAATGTCCGCTGGATTTCCCACGCATCAGACATCGGACTCCGGACATCATCCAGTAACCTTTGGACATTGTTCAACAGCCCTCAGAAGTTAGGGGCATGTACTCGGGTAAGGGGCGCAGCGCACGAGCTGAAGCCAAGCCCTTCAGATTTGACCCTTGAGCATGTTCTTAACAATAGGACAGATAGAAATTTTTTGTCTCACAAGCTCTCAAGGATAGCTGCCTCAAATTCTACTACAGCAATAGCAAGAAGGCCCTCAAGAACACAGACGAATTTCAATGTTCAATACCTGTCAATGGGCTGCTTCTTGTGGCCATGATGGTATATTTAAATTTTTTCATCACTGATGGGTCAGCAGATAAAGGGTGTCACCACTGGATTTCACAAGACCGGCACCGACAAAGTCCCTGGCCTCTCCACAGATAAATATAGGGCTGACTTCAACTCATTGTGAAAGTCAGTAGACAACCTCATTGATAATCCTGAACATGGCAGGGAGATTGAAGAGATGCTGGAGGAGTGGGCTATGACTGGGATGGGTGACCATTATTTTGATGATGATGTGGGAGGTAGTGATATGGAGGATGTCAATGTCATCCTATAATATAGCATACTCTCATTCCTTGCTGTGTAGTTTATGACAATCAGGACAGTTGGTTTCATCCACCATTGTATCCTCTCCTTCACCACTGACATTACCAAAGTCATCCGAGTCATCCAACATCGCCTCGCTTCCATCATGGCATTCAATATCTGCTGAGTTCGAGGAATGGTGTGACAGAATAACGGAGCTGAGCTTGATTATATCTTCCAGCCATGTATTGCAGCCAGACTGAGGTTGACTCATGTGATGAGCAATGGATGTATGGTCTTGAAAGACCTTCCTGCATGATGGACATTGAGGCATGGTGCGAAACAAGTATGTACATATATGAGTACTAGCAGTAATAAATCTGACATCAATTTTCGGCATTTTCCGACTGACTTGTCAAAACATACCATCATCATGAAGGACATAACTAATTTACGATCTCTCTCGGCATGCGCATCAGGCAAGGATGAACAATTGCCTCATCAATGTTGTCATAAAGGAACATTGGGTATATGTGAGCTATACAATGTTCTTCATTCTGTTAATTCCTTGGTGATGTTGATCTCTAAATTCACATTTTTATGCACCTTACATTTTAACAGTCCATACAGGATTCAACCAATTCTGAAGCCAACCTCCTGATGGACCTTGTGAGAGCCAAGCACAATGTTTACCGAGCACAAAAGACACTAGCAAACTGTGTAGTATGGGAAAATGAAGTATTAGCAAGCTTGCTTAGATATTGAGCCAAAGAGGTGGAGAAGATGCTCGAGGACACTCTAACACATAGCAGTTGTCTACAAACTGGTAAGCTCACAATATGAGACTATGTGGCATCTGGGGATGCTGATCTGTCCCAGAAGAAGCTAATGAAAGCAGTCGACACCTCACCATCTGGCTGGATTGAGTGCTTCCGGGTCCCCTTCACATTATTATGACACTTGATAAATATGTACGCTGTTCTCACATGAATATGTACATAGTATATGTTGTATCATAGGCATGAATGATATTTATGTCACACTCAGATCTGAAACCATTTTTGCTGCTGGCTTAAGTTCAATCATTAAAGCTAAGTCACACAAAACTGGCAAGTCATTTGCTAGTGATAGACTTAACAATACAACTACAAGTCATACTAGTAGTATGATACTAGTACTCAGGCTACTTAAATTTTCAAGTTGTACTGTAGAACTGTGAGTGACTGGAGATGGTGTATACTTTGCAGCCACCATTTGCTGTGATTGTGGCAGAACTGTGAAGTCTGTGGCTTACTGTCGTGTGAACACAATTTTCATACTTTCTGTGGAAGAATTTGTGATTTACTGATGCATAATATTGTAAAGCTTATGTAGCTCACTGTACACTGTACAGGCTTGTCAGGGATACACCAACTGTCCTGATTGTCAAAATGGACGCCCTCGACTTCCTGATCCTCAAGTACTCGAACTCCTACATCACACTGAGACAAAACTTCCCAAGTCAAGCGACACGAAGGTCAAGACTGAATCAGAACAAGCAAAGGAACCAGGCGATGGACCTAAGGCCACACAATTAGGCCGGTATGGTTTGTGGTGGAAAAGCTTCCTTGAGGATACAAAGGGCGAATGTCGTGCCCAACTGCAATAGAGAACCCATTCCCGAAACTCATGAAAGATTTAACAGGTTCTGTCAATGAGGTCCTCATGGCTTCACTTGTAGAATGGCTAGAAGGTGGTCAACAAGTCGAAGAGGGTAAGTCTTTTTTCCTCGAGAGAGATTATACTCAGGTGTCTACCAGGTATTTGGCCTGATCACAAGCATGATATGGCAAAACTGGTATGTGCATTTTCTGGTACATGTCCTTTCTAACTGTCATATCCCACGTTCCGGACCCGGACTTATCACACACATCATTTCCAGATGTCCGGATCCGGTCAACGTCTATCTATGTCTGGATCTGACCTGTGTCTAACTTCCGTGCCTTATCCCTTTGTATGTTCCTACTCCAGTTAGACTATATCATTTTCCGTACCTCATTTCATTTCCACCTTTATTTTCCTCTATTCTAATCTCCGGGTTCATTTACTATTTTCTGATAGACTAGTGTTTGACTTTTCTATATGCTCTGTCCACAGCTTTGTATAGCTTCGGACTGCGTGTCTCGGTTCTCTGATAAGTCCTCAGTAGTATATAAACCCTGTAGAATCTATGTACATCCTTAGTTCGAATATTATCTTAGACTCTGCTCATTCCCTCCTCCATCTGACTTGAGTTTCTCTCTCGTCGACCTCCACTCATCTTAGGATTGATTCCTATAAGACTTGTCACCTCTGCCTCTACCTCTGGTAGTTCTCCACTGTTTACTTTCTAGTTCAGACTTCATCCGGATTAGTCTTATCACTTGTTCCCAAACGTCCGCCAGAATTCCCACGCATCGGACATTGGACTCCAGACATCGCCCGACACCCTCCGGACATTGTCCGGTAACCTTCAGACATCGTTCGACAGCCTTTGGAAATTAGGGGCACGTACTCGGGTAAGGGGCGCAGCGCATGAGCTGAAGCCAAGCCCTTAGGATTTGACCCTTGAGCATGTTCTTAACACTAACACGCTATTATGTTAGCTATATGAAGATTTGTCAATGTGGCACTCAGAGCTCAAGAAGGTTGTTGCAGGTATTGTGCCCTCCATGTACAACCTGATCCCTCCATCACATGTCCTGCCTGAACAACGTGCTACCTGGATTGAAGAAGCTGCTAAGAAGTTGCTGGAAGATGCTATCTTTCTATGCTATGGTGTTGATCAAAACAGGAAGATTAACAATGCGGCTCATCCTGTACTTTGTGAAGCTGCTATTACTTTATTTTATACAGGATCTTACTGTACTGCTCGCAGGAGACTGGATGTCTTCTGGAATGAGTTACCACTTGAATGCTTGGCACTGGTTTTGTTACGCCTGGGATGAGTCGAGCCATCCAAGTCCGAACAAACGATCTGCTAAGCAGCGAGACGGACATGGTTCTTCTCTCAGATGGGAGGTCAAGGTTTCTGGCTAAGGCGAGTGTAGGCAACTCCCTTAGAATAGTGGTTCTAGATAGTAAGGTTGGAGACCTTACTAAAGGACAAGTTCCAGGTAAAACCCAGTAGATTAAAGTAAAGAATACAATCAATGGACTATATGTCTATATAGTGAATGTTCAAGCGGAGCTTGTAAATGGTTATCAAGATAAGGAGATAGAAGGCGGACAGCCCGCTTGATAAGAGTGACAGATAGCAAACATAGTACGGACAGCCCATTTGATGGAAGATAAGAGATAGCAAACATAGCGCAGACAGCCCGCTTAGGTAAGTGACGAGAAATGAATAGGAGCGTAAATGTTATTGTAACATTACCCCGTTGTTATGGTCAAAGTCACCGACTATGACTCTAATTGTCCATGTTGTCATAGTAGCAGGGGTCGGCTTCAGCATTATGAAATTGGATGTCATTTTCTTCGGTGCATCCCCGCATCACCGTATACTCACGATGAGCGCACTCTAGTTCCTCCTCAAGCTTCTGGTCCTCCCTGGCTTCCTATTCAGCCAGGGCATCATAAAATCCCTCGTCGGTGTAGACCAACAGAAACTGCTCCTTCTTTGGAGTGTACAGACAGTAGATAGAAAAATGACCTGGTGCTTGGGCCTGGCATACACGGCAGTGGTACTGCGGACAGTTCTTATGGCGGTGTCCAAGTGCTTTGCACTGGCGACAGATGAAATTGTCTGCAGAGAGGTCGGGTTGTTTTGTTGTAATGGTGGACATGGAGGGGTCAAGGGTAATGTCGATCACTTCCCGCTTCTTTCCCTTGAAGGACTTTGTTTTAGTCACTCCATGGACGACTGTTCCCTTGCGGGTTTTTCTTGCGTAGATTCTGGTTGGTGGGGGAATGGGTAGTGGTTGAGAATCTTCTCTAACCGGACTTGGAGGAGGTACGTCAATGGTGGCAATGCTAGCAACAGTGCTTGGCGGGCGACCGACTTGGGTTGTGTTTCATTCTGCAACAACTCGTATAACTGTTGTGCAGACATCACTAAAAGAACCAGGAAGAAGCTGAATCACGAGAGAGCGAATGTGTCTCTGGATGTGTTGGCATGATAGTCTGAGGGCATCGTCCTCAATGTTGTTGAGCTTGAGCTCTAACTTGGCGGTGCTTCGTATGATGTGGATTTGGGATAGGATGGGGGCGGCGATATGCGCGGGTTCCTTGGCTAGTTGGTTTTCTATTTCTTTCACGTGAACAAGGGACAAGAGAGTGGTTTCTACAATGACATCGTCTTCAACGTTGATGATGTTTTGTTTATAGAACGTATCACGTAGGGAGAGGTGGGAGACGTTGGAGTCGGTAGGCGATGGTGTCTGGGGAGGAGTCATGCTTTGGTGGGTTTCGATAAGGTGGGAGCAGACAACTATTAGTTCAGTTTATGTCTCCTTTTATAGGCGACTAGGAGTTCTTTAGAACTCCGCAGGTTCTCTTCGGGAATCCACTTGTTGCTACCGGAGGAGTACCCGACCCAAGATATGAGATAGTGTCTTCATTTTCCCATGCTTCTATGGCTAAGAATAGCCTCTACTTTGTATTCTTCTTCGCCGTTGACTATGTCTGGAAGGGGTTCTGCGTAGTTCGGCCCGTGTATTTCTGTCTCCTGATAGGACGATAATTCAGAAGCGTGGAACGTGGGGTGAACTTTCCATTGTTCAGGGAGTTTCAAGGAGAAAGTGATGGGAGATAAGACTGCCATTACGGGAAACAGTCCATAGCGCTTGGGTGCAAGTTTCCTGGATGGGAGTTTGGTCATGAGGTTGGTGGCGGTAAGCCATACCTTATCTCCTATCTTCCAGGGGGTGTACTTCTTTCTGTGTGACCTTTCTGCCATTCGTTGCATAGCGATGTTATGGCAAGAGATTGCTTCTTTGCGTATCTTCTGCAGGGTCCTTAGCTGTTCTTCTGCCGCGGGTGTGTCGGAGGACAGGAGGACATGAGGGATTCCTCTGGGTTCATATCCCATCATGAGGTAGAAGGGGGACGTATTCCTAGCGTCGTGTTTGTGATGATTATGGACGAATTCTGCAAGAGGGAGATGGTCGGACCATTCAATGGGGTTAGTTCTGCAGTAGATTCGCAGATACGTTTCTAGTTCCTGATTGAGTCATTCGGTTTGACCATCAGTCTGGGGGTGATAGGCAGTGGAAGTGGCAATCTGATACCCAAGGAGGCGAGCTAGTTCTTTAGAGAATTTCGAGATAAATTGGGGTCCCCAATCAGAGATCACCTTCTCATGGAGTCTGAACTGTTTAAAAACATTTTTGAAGAAGAGTTTAGCCACTCCTTCTGAGGAAATGGTTTTACTGCAAGGAGTAATAATTACCCCCTTCATAAGGCCATGGTCTACCACGACCATGATGGAATCAAAGCCATTAGAAGGCGGGAGATCGGTGATCAATTCAACAGAGACCTGGCTAAACGGGCGAGTGGCAGAGGAGGGAATGGGGCGCAAAGGCAGTGTGGTTGGATGAGTGTCAGCTTTCATTTGCTGACATAAGGCGCAGCCAGCAACATAGCTGCGAATGAAGGAACCCATGGTGGGCCACCAATAATCTCACTTGATCAATTCCTCCATTTTAAAGCGGCCGGGGTGACCAGCAGTGGGGTGATCATGGTGTCATCAAAGGATGTCAGATCGCTGTGCGACAGGCACATACACTCGGTCTTTGTAGAATAGTACACCATTAACGAGTCTCCAGTCAGAAAGAGTGGATTTCATAGGAGGAAGACAGACACCATTCAAGGCATTGGAGGCGGATGCAAACAGAGGATCATCGAGGGAATTGAGAGATATAGCTGTGCTAAGCTCATCATCCAGAAGCCAAATAAACATAGAGTCAGGCAGCAAGATGCGGTCTTCATTATCATCTTTGCCGAGACTATGATCAGGTCTGCGGGAGAGGGTATCTGGTGCGGCGAGTTTGGTACTGGGGACATGGTGGAGTTGAATATCATAGTTGGACAGGGTTAATTGCCAACATGCCTGTCGTCTAGACAGTTTCTGGGCCTGTCGGAAATACAGGAGGTTCATATGATCAGTGAAGACAATTATTGGATGGGGACTTCCTTCGAGGTAATGACACCATTCATTGAGGGCACGGATTACTGCAAGGAGTTCATAGTCGAAGATTTCGTAATTCCTTTCAGCAGGATTAAACGACTGAGAGAGATACCTGCATGGGTGGTACATCCCGTTTTCATCGGTCTGAAGGAGGACTGCACCGGTGGCAGCAAGTGAAGCATCAGTAGCCAGCGCAAATTGTCAGGTGGGATCAGGGTTGCATAGGACTGGCTGAGATAGGAAGCACTGCTTTAGAGAATCAAATGATTCTTGGCAGGCAGCAGTCCACTCGAAGGCATGGTCTTTCTTGATAAGATCTATCAAGGGTCGCGCGATGTCGGAGTAGTGAGCTACAAATGCGCGGTAGAAGTTGCAGAACCCAAGGAACGAGCGGGTTTCTTTGACATTAGTGGGCACTGGCCAATGCTCGATGCCTTCAACCTTAGCCTGTTCCATCCCTACTTCTCCTAGTCAAATAATCATACCCAAATCCTCCACTTCTCTTGTGTCGAAGATGCACTTTTCTGGTTTGACGAATAACTGTTCTTTGCATAGGATGTCCAGGACAACTTTGGTTCGATTACGATGTTCGTCTAGATCTTTCAAAAAGATTAGAAGATCGTCCATGTAGATGACCAACCAGCCCTGGTTAATTTCCTTTTGGAAACGATCATTCATGTACCTCTGGAAAGTGGCAGGCGAATTGGTGAGACCGAAGAACATTACAGTGGGTTCCCATAACCCTTCTTCGGTGGTAAATGCTGCTTTCCATCTGTCATCAGGATGAATGCGGACATTGTTATAACCGGACCGGACGTCTATCTTGGTGAAGTATTGTGCATTATAGAGCCATTCAATAAGGGATTTGGGCAAAGGAAGAGGATATTGGTCTCGGACCATCCAGTCGTTTAAGTATCTGTAGTCTTGGCAAGGGCATAATTCCCCACTTTTCTTCCCTACAAAGAAGAAACCGCTGGCTTGAGGGGATTTTGAGGGCACAATGAATCCTTTCTTCGTGTTTTCTTCAATGAATACTTTGACCACTTCTCGTTCTTTGCCTGACAGAGGGTAGATTTTCGATGTTTTCGGGATAAATCCAAGTTTTAGGTCAATATGATGATCAATGCCGGGTCATTCGGGAGGAAGTCTATTAAGGCCATCCTTTGCAAATATATCCGCATAAGCATGCAAATAGGTCAGGACGAGTTCTTCAAAGTTTTTCTTTCCTTTTTCTATTTCTCCGGCTACAGTGAATTCCTGGGCTTTGTTACTGGTCTTTTTGTATACTTGCTCTGCTTTTGATGTTCTGTCGCGAGTGAGAGGAGTATCGAAGGATACATCTTCAATGACTCGTACTTGAGATCCGTCCGAGGCATACTCAATGAGGACTTCATTGTCATCGAGCTTATAAGTGGAGATGTCATTGACGATGGGGGCAAAGTTTTCCAACCATACATCTTCTTTGGTGTCATAATCAGGGTGGTCTTCATCTTGGTCGGGCATAAGGGGAGGAGGATCATCTTCATCATGGACTTCTTCTATGGAGGCCGCTACGGAGGGTAAGGGGGTTTCAACAGTAATCACCTTCACCTGTGTTGCTCTTTTTAATTTAGAGTCTTTCCATATGGAGGGTCTTTTGGTAGTGGTGATAGGTGGTTTGTTCTGAGAGAACAGAAGAGGGAGTCTGTTGCATTTTCTGGCGTGGTCAACCTTTTGTTCAATCTTTCGGGATCGTTCGGTTTCTGAAAGTGATAGTGTCCCTTCTGACCAGCTGATATCAGGGTTGAGGGCTTTTAACCATGGGTATCCTAACAGGATTTTGTCACGTTTCGCAAGCCTGGCCACATTAAACTTTCCTATCATGGTTCTTTTATCAATTTTGACAGTGAGAACACAGTATCGGGAGATAAGGCCTCCTGCGGCATCTGATCCATTGGCAGTGATGACGGGAAATGGTTTGGAAAGTTTATGGGTTCGGATCTTGTGCAACTTGCAAAAAGCATCGCTTATGAACGTTCCAGATGCTCCAGAATCTACGACCATAGAGGTTTCGACAGTTTTCATATGATTTTCGGAAATGATAGTGGCAGGAACTCTGAGTTCTTTTCTATTTCCAAGTGATTGTACAAGTCATATAGGAATAGGAAGTACTGACATCGGGGCAGCCTTCCTTTCTAAAAATCCATCTCTGTAGTGAAGCGGTGGTTTTCGACTTCGTCACTGCTGCTTTCTTCTTCTTTCTCGGTCTTCCTCCTAATAGGGGCTTTCTGTTTCTTTTCTTCGCATGGGTGGAACACGGTATCATTGGCATGATGTCCGACTTGGTGACAGTTGAAGCATCGTCCTTCTTTCAGATGCCTCTTCATTTCTGGTTCAGAGAGTCAGGCTATTTCAAGCTGATCTACTTCCATGGCATCATCTCTTCGGGGGGTGTAGTGGGAATTTCCGAATTTCTTCTTCTTCTGGAAGGACTGTGGGTTTTCCCGCTTCTGGATCGCTTTTAACCTTTGAAATGTGTTGTCTAGGTTGATGCAGGTGGCGACGACAGTTTCAAAGTCATCAAGACTTTTTCCAGTATGATAGAGATTGTTACAGAGGCCTTTGTCTAGGCCTTCACGGAAAGATTCGACCTTGGTGACGTTCTCCTTTATCCCTGCTTTATGGGCAAGAAGGCGATAGTTGGAGATATAAGTTTGGAGATCTCCTTTCATTTCAAGGGCGCGGACTTTGGACATGGCGGTTCCGGCTGGGTCTATGGCTCCAAAGGCTTCTTTGAATGCTACTTTGAAGTCGAGCCAAGTCCCATATCCGATCGCACTTCCCAAGGTTCCTACCCATTTGGGATCTTGGGCGGCTTCCATGAAGTCTTCTTTCCAAGCAGCAGTGTTGCCCTTGGTCATGAACGATAATGCAAAGATTACTTTCTTCTTATCATCGTTATAAATCTTATCATTGATATCGAGATATGTGTTACAGTTCAGCATGAACCTGTGTGATTCATCGCGGTCTCCATCGAATTCTGGGGGAGTACTGATCTTGATTTCTGTCTCTTTAGTAGACATGGTGTTCAAAGGCGGAATGGGTGGTAATGCGCCTAGGCTCAATGCTCCGATCAAAGGAGTTAATGAAGTTGTGGTGTCTGATGAAATGTCGCAGATGGCGGCATTATGGTTAAGACTTTAATCTTTTGTTACAACTGGGATGAGTCGAGCCATCCAAGTCCGAACAAACGATCTGCTAAGCAGCGAGACGGACATGGTTCTTCTC